GAAGACGTGCCGGATGCCAGTGCTTTTCAGACGCCAGCCGCTCCGGGCAGTGCGAAACTGTTACTTCGCTATCGGATAACGGAACTGGCGCCAGGGCAACATGAACTCTGTACGGAAACGTTCGTCTATTGTCCGGACAGAAGCACTCGGCTAAGGATGACAGCTTACTGGCTGGTAATCCGGGCGGGCAGCGGCTGGATCCGTAAAAGGACGCTGAAGGCGGTCAGAGAGAATATTGAAAGTCAGACGTGAGGTGTACCTGTGAAATGTTCCGAAAGGAAACCTCGCGGGAGTATTTTCCAGAATGTTTATGGGTTGAACAATGGAGGTTTTGATGAATAAGCGCGCTATTGCCTGTTTGCTCTTACTCAGTGCATTCGCTGTAAATGCTGCTGATGGCGGTAAGGGTGGTGATGGAGGAAATGGCTCTGATGGCGGAAACGGTTCTGATGGCACCGCCTCATCTAATGGCCGAGCGGGTTGTCCGGGCGGAACAGATCCGGATCCATCGGGGCATTTTTATCTTCCCGGTACAAAACAGCAATGCAACCCGGGGAAGCAGGATGCAATGAAGAGCGCCAGGCAATGAGATAAAGCGTGACAATACGCGAGCTCATCCTGATTCTGTTTCCTTACCTGCCTCCAGCTCCCGGCAAAATGTTTAGCAAGGTAAAAGATAGGCATCCTCCACACTGGACGACACCGACAGATAAGCGTTTGTGGGAAGCTACTCAAGGAAAAACAGAACCACCTGAGCGCTTCTCACGAAAAAATCGATTTGATCTTTTCGGGCAGCACGAGGTTGAAAAGAGCTATCGATCCAGCGTTATTATTACAATAATCTTGACCTTATCTGGGTTCGGTATATTCATCCTTTAGTTAAGCGTCTATTAATTATGTCATTAACATAATGTTCAATCGAAATATTGTGCTCCCGATTAATCTGAGAAATGAATGCGCTAAGATGCTCTTGCGATGCATGAAGAGTAGTGGCGATAAGGTTATCAAAATCGTTCTGAGTGAATCGTTTGTGTCCCTTCAACGTCGAACGCTGGAGCAAAGTGTGTGCGGTCACTTCCAGGACGGCCCGCCGGTAATGATCGGACAGCAGGACGTCAAGATCGGTCTGAAGAATATCAAACTCAAAATGAAAACTGACAAATCCCGATTCAACAGGTAATGAATATATAAGCCTGTTATTAAACTTATTAACATAAGGTTCGTAACCGTCCCCCATCAATCGTTGCATTTATTCCTTCCTTCTATCGTCATCAATCTGAAGCTATGTAATAAAATTTATCAAACATCTAAATGCTATACCTTTCCAAATTCTGCTCTTGCACACATTGCCATTTGACATGCTATTCTTCAGCATTAACATTAATTTATACGTACATTGAAGCTTACGGTTTTAATCTTGGCTTTTATATCTAAAAATATCAACAATTACCAATAAACATTAACAAACCAGACGCAAGCATAGTTATTAAATTTACAATAATTAAATTAATGACTGTCATTTAATATTTTAACTGCATACTTTGCTTTAGTTTTCGATAATAACAAACTCACTTTTGTGAATTTCATACACTACCTCATTGCTTTCAAAGAAACAATTCCTCTAAAAATTCTGAGAACGAGCCAGAAACCAATGCAACTTCTTTATCATCCATGAAAAAAATAAACACCTTCCCTAATGAATCATCAGATTTGAGAGATAGTAGAAAAGAGTTCCCCCCGTCATCATATGCAAAAGGGACCATATTCCTCAATTCGCCAAACGACTCAACAAGGTCACGGTAGAGTTGTTCTATAGGCAGGTCACCATATTTTACAGGGTTAAACCCGCCAAGCATAAACGGATTACCATCTTTATTTTTATGAGGATGTCCTCCATTATTTTTTAGATAAAAATCAAGAAATGAAGCGGGAAGTTGATTATCAAAAATCGTATTGAAAGCATTTATTTCGTATACAGTTAGTTTATTTTCTGAATCAGTAAGATACATAGTAATTTCACCCTAACGCATCTACAGATGCGGGTTTTTGTAAAGGTTGTGCTCGTATTAAATTATACAAAAGGACTGAGTTCGCAAGTTGGTTTAATACCCACACCACCACAACAATTTTGGAAATTATTTCTTTCACTATTTTTGATAGTGTTTCAAAAAAACATTCAACGCAGTAATATATAAATTATCACCAGACAACGCCATCAGATATCATTCCAAAATGAAGTATCCCTCGCCCCTGTTAACTTGATAATTTCCGATAAAGGACATGTTTTTAAAACATGCGAACCAACACCTCTGATAAATAGCTCAAAACTATCAGCTATCGATTCCCATCCATCCATAGTTTGCTCACTTGTAATAGCATAAGCTTTGCCATCATGAGTATTAAGTAAAATAGTATAAGGGTCTGATATTGCAACACATAACACACCATCCGGTCTATGCTCGCCAATCCACCAATGGCTAAACTGATCATTGTTAATACTGACTATTTTCTCCAAATAATCACCACCATGGCCGAAAGATATATTCCCCAAAGAGAAGTTATCAACATCATAATTATTGACAAACTCAATAAAATCCTTTGGGAAATTCACACGAAGTCTTTCCTCAGAAAGTTTGATATTGTTTACAGGCGATATTCTTTTTTTCAAAATCAAATCATCCATCTCTCCATTAAAAGGAGAGAACTTCTCATTTAATTTAACTTCAATTTCATTTAGTGTTATTAACACAATTATTACTCCCAATTCGTATGCCAAACATCGCCATTGCCAACATGAGTACGCCCAGGTTCGGGTATAGCATATGTCCCAAAATCTACATGTTAATGTATTATTGCTTCTCCTTTATAATTCACATGCTCAGGAAATACTTTAATCCAGGTTTCATCTATTTTCGGTAACTTTCCCACTTCTTTTATTCTATATAACTTGCTTTAACTTAAGGAACCCGATGCATATCAGATTATTGACTCCAAAATTCTTGGTATTTCCTTATATCGCAGTTTGAAATAAGTATTCCTGATACTAATGTTCTGGTATCTATTTAGAATGCTTGATGAGCTCTTCCGGGGTAATGAGGATCAACCCGCGTCTAGTATGGATTGTTACCACTGACTTCATATCCCCTACATAACCCAAACGGATCCTGTTCAGTAAACCGCACAATCTGCGGGTCGTAGTAGAGGATAGATTATTAATTATATCTTTGTTTGTGGTTCAAGACAGGATTATATGATATCAAAGCCGGACGAATCTCTCACCCGGCCTTCATTCTTTTTAGCTTAAACAGTTTATTACTAGCGAGTCTAACTCTACCCATGCATCTTCTAATTTAAAAACCAAATCTGGTTTATTTTCCACTCTTTCAAAACTAGCATGCGCATTTCTTATCATTTGAGGTATTATATATAAATACAAAGCTAATTCTTTATCTATGGACTCATTATTTTTCAATAGGTTAGCAAGTTTCTCTAAACCAGAAACCAAGTCATTATACTGCTCATCATTGAAAATCATATTAATCCTAACGTTATTAACAAAATCATTTTCAATTATTTTTTTCTTTACATCACTTAACATAAATGACCTATTAAAATATTATGGTTTCGTGGGATGCCTCACCAAAATTAAAACTTTCTGATGCGCCGCATCAGCATTTCGAGTAAGCAGTGTTTGTAAATTCTCTGCTGATGCCTGGCTTCTGGTGGAGGAAATCCAAGAGTCACGCGAATGCGGAGCACCTGCAACATGTTAGGCCGGTGTTATTTTATGCTAACGTGTTGTTATTATTGTTTTTTAGCCGCTCACATACTCTCTCGTTTTCAGGCGTCACCGCTCTTATGACAGTATTACCATTACATAACCTCCACGGAGCAAACCATCCCAGCGGATTCAGCGCATACTGATAAAGATTCCATCCACCATTCAACCCAATCGGATCCTGTACGATATACAGTCTATCCGAGGAGCGTAGTAGTTATATTAAACTTAATAGGTAAAACAAGCCGGAAATTAAAAAGTACTTCCCGGCGTTTTAGTTAGAATGGAAAAATACAGTTATTAAATGTATGCAAACAATCGTTTCTTGAGATACTCAATAAAATTATCAGCATAGGGTTGAACATTCTCCCCTAATGATACATATATTTTTTCCATTTTATTTGCATCAAAAAAGAACTCTTCGCCAAAATCCGTATTCGATACAACAACTCTTCCTTTTTTTAAATTATCATTTGCTATAGTATTTTGATATACTATATCTCCACCTACCGCCTCATCAAAAGGCAGGCAGTAAATACTATAAATTTCCTCACCACAGATATCTCCGCCACCATAATTGTTTAAAAACCACTTATAGCTAGCAGGAAAAGTCACTGATAATGCTTTTTCGGCAGCATCGATCCAGTCACTTCCTGGAGAATCTTCAGACGTTCCCATGTTGATTAAATCAGAATGTTTATCAAAAAGCTCTACTAATTCTTCTCTGCTCATAGGAAATCACTCGCTCTGTTTGTCCAATATTGTTTACGCCATGTATCAAATACAGATCTATCTATACCAGATGGGATTGTGTTTGGATTTATGTGTATTATTCCATGGTTAGTTTTATGGAATGTTTGACTCATCTCCGCAATTGGGCCATCTTGAGTTTGTAACATATGATGTAAATTAACTGCATTTCCATCATATCCAACAGGTGCACGGCCTGTAGCCATTCGCTCTACGTTCGTTCCCCTGAAAACTTTTCCTTTTTCACGCCAAGTTGTCATCAATTCAGGATCAAATAAATCATCCCGCTGATAAACTTTATTTCCGTTAAATTCTATTGGTTCATTTTTCCAAAACTTCCTGTTTTGCCCAGAAGAATTACAAGCAGCAAGACCCAGCGGATCAATCCACCCCAACGGATTCGGCGCATACTGATAAAGGTTCCACCCACCATTCAACCCAATCGGATCCTGCACAATAAACCGCCCGACCTGCGGGTCGTAGTAGCGGAACAGGTTATAGTGCAGCCCCGTTTCA